ATAGCTTTGATGCTTCGTATCAAATTGCTTTCTAGAAAGGAAGTATCAATCCTATTTGCACCTTCAGTGTGTAAGAGTATCTTTTCATCTGCCTTTTCTAAACAAACGTTAACATGTGTGCCATGTGCCATATAATAGCAGATACGAATAACTGAAAAATTTATCAGTTTGAACAGTTCCAGCAACACAGGATATTTCCTTGCCTCCTTAAGTCTGCTTTTAAATTTTTAAAATTGTGACTATGGCAACAAGGAATGTGCTCTTTCTCTAGATATATTTGTACACATGCATTATATAAATGGATATGGAGAGAGTGCTAATTGAATTAAGAATTACAGTCTAGTTACTGAAATTGACAATTGGCTGGAATTACCAAAAGATAGGTAGATACTCAAAACCCATTACTTTGCCTTTAGACAAGAGGAAAATGATCAGATCTCACTTTAAAATATTTTTACATCTAAAAAGAGAACTGGAGAACTTTCTGTCTATATAGACCCAGGAGAAGTACAATAAAAATATTTTACTGTTATGTGGTGAGTACAGGTTGATTATATAAGTGTTAGGTTTAAACTATTACCTGTCATTTCCTAATTTCCAAAACATTTTACGAAGTTTTCAAGTGACAGGAATACTATTTAGATCAGAGTGAAAAAAACTGAATATCAAACCTTTAGTTTCTTGAATTTTGTTAATTTAGAGACCTTAAAGGAGGGGTTGGCAAACTGTGGCCCGTGGGGCGAATTTGGTGCACTGCCTATTTTTGTGTGGCCTGTGAGCTAAGAATGGTTTTTACATTTTTAAATGGTTAAAAAAATCAAAAGAAGATTACTATTTCATGATGTGTGAAAATTACTGAAATTCAAATTTCATTGTCTATAAAGTTTTATTGGAACACAGCCACACTCATTCATTATGGCTGCTTTTGTGCAGGGCTGAATAGCTGTGAGACAGACTGTAAGGCCCTGAAAGCCTAAAATATTTACTATCTAGCCCTACACAGAAAAAAGTTTGCCAACCTTTGTCTTTAAGTAACGTATGATTTATATTTTTCTTCACTAATTCTGATTACTTGAATGAGTATTTCTCTGCTGCTCCTCAAAATTAATTCTTACCTTGTTACATTTTGCATTTTTAAATATCTGCCATTTTTCATGAGCTTATGAAACTTTCTATTATATCCATTTTGGAGCAGTATATTATTATTTTCTATATGGGCTCTGTCTAGAGCCCATTTTCACCTTGTTTGATGGTTTGATTACTAAAATTAAGTCACTGGTAGTTGGAATTCTGCAATTCTAAAAAAATGCACAGTCTATAAATTGTGCATATTTTGAGGGTAAAGCAAATGTAATTCCTTATACACAAGTTAGAGGCATTCCTATTTCAAGCAGTTTAATTAGCCAACAGTGCTCTCTATTAACCAGAAAAGAAAGTTAACTTAACAGCCTATACACAAATCCTACTAGTTGATGGAGGTGTCATTACATTCAGTTTGGCTAAACTAAACAAAACTTCCCTGACTCTGAGCAGCACATATGCCCATATTCTGAGGAAAGATTTCATAAACTCACATTTCCAGTCTTTAGATTCAACTTATATATAAGGTGAAGCACTTCTTTGAAGACCAATGCCTTGCTGATTATTGTTCTTATCCAACCTGATCCGAAGTCTACTGAATTAGAATATTTAAGGGCCCTTTGTGGTGGCAAATATGAATGTGTAGCTGAATACGTTCAATTATTCCCTAGAAAATAGTTTTGTTCTTCCTTTGTTTGTTTAGGCAAGCAACTGTTGTGAGATATCCAGCATTTTAAGGGATTCTGCCTCAGAGCATGTGTTAGAAACTATAAGAAGAGTTTATAACTTTTCAGTTCTAAAAGATTTTTCAGCTTTGTATTTCTGGAATTGTTTGTGTCCGTGTTTCTTCCCATCCTGTTGGGACTTACTGTTGTTAGCAACCTCCTGTGTGGTTCTAAGACATGTTGACCTCTTTGAAACCTTTCCAGGTGTCATTGCCACCTTCTTGATCTCTGCAATATAAGCTACATTGTTTAGTGGAGTTAAGTTCTATGAACTTTAGAAATCCTCCCTGAGACTCTGAATTAACTAACACCCAAGGTAGCATAAACATGTAGACACAAATGTTCCTAAAACCAAGCCTGCTGGGCAGCGCAGGATATGACTTGGAGTCTGGAAAAAGGAACAGTTTGCTCACTTGTGAGTCTATGACTACCTCCAGGTGCAGTTTGAAGCTAAGTGGCTAGTTTTCCTGATCCTTAGCTGTAACCTCTCATTAGAACACAGCAGAATTTGCAATTGTGGATGTAAGGAATTCCACGAAGACCCTCTGGGCCCATTAAGACCTCTGGCTTCAGAAGGTCCTAAAACACACTTTCTTCAGCATATGTAGCTATAGTAAAAAGACACTGTTTTTTACAAATTTGATCTAAGTTTTAGCCTAAAGATTATAATCACTATAGTTCATCTTAAAATTTATATCCAGAGAATGCAGTTACAAATTAAAGAGAAAAACATAAAGTTTAATAGATAATTTTTTTATGTTTCCAGTTTGTCATTAAAAGGTTCTTATTGTTTTTGGTAATATATATAGTTAAAGCTTTGCAAGAGTTCATACTTGGACTAAGAATCCCATATTAGTCTAGCTTTAAATGTGGAGTGTTATACTAGTGATTTCTCAGCTCTTCTTTTAAAATCTCATGGCTTGGCTATTCTTACAGAGAAATCATGCTGCCAAAACCTAGGAGAGTTTGACAACGATGTGGAAATAACACTATATTGAGAATCTAAAGATATGGAATTCAGTCCTAACTGTACCACTGTCTTAGCTGAACATTTCTATTTGTCTCCTTATCTATAAAATATACATAACAAATAATACAAACCACACAGGGATATTATGAAAACAAAACTAGTAATAAATACAAAAAGACCTGGGAGAAGTGCAAAAGAGTATACATATTAAGGGCATAATGGTGGCAGTGGTCACCCATTCTTCTTTGCTATTGATCTCCTTCCCGCTCAGAAACTGTATGTCTATAACATGAAGACTACTGTTCCTCCACACCCCTGAGCCAGCTGTTCCTATGATTACCCTTCCCATCCTGGCTCTAGTGTCCAGGGAATCTTGAGGGTCATGTAGTCTACCCATCTTAAAATGACTGTGAGAGGAGTTAAACTTCCTCAGCTTTGCTTTCTTTTGGCTAAGGTCTCATGTGTGAATGGGTGAAGTGGCTACAGGTACAGAGTACGATTACTCATTAGTGCAGCTTCTCAGAGGTTTCTTTCCTGTCACTACTAGTTCATTGCTGAGAATGCAATTACCATGGAAACCTTTCGAAGATCTGAAAGGCTATACAACAAGTATTAATACGGGTTGTCTCTGGGTGGTTGGAATTATAGGTGGTCTTTTTTTTTTTTTGGTCTGTAAATTCGTAGGTTCTCACTTTTGCAATTAATAAGAAAAAAATAACAAAGAGAAATTTAATTTTTTTTTTTCTGTGAGGAAGGTTGGCTCTGAGCTAACATCCATCCCCATCTTCCTCCATTTTGTATGTGGGATGCTGTCACAGCATGGCTTGATGAGTGGTGCATGGGTCTGCGCCCGGGATTCAAACCTGTGAACCCTGGGCCACCGAAGTGGAGCGCTCGAACTTAACCACTATGCCACGGGGCCACTCCTGAGAAACTTAATTTTGAAACAAACAAACAAACTGCTCTCAATGTCACAAGGGGCAAACAATCAAATACCTTAAAAACTCTCTAACATGAAAATTTCTCAAGAGGAAAATTAGAAAATAAGGGCATGTCATTCACTCTAAAAATATGAGTGCAATATCATATCAAAGAGATATTCTTGTAAGAACTTTTATTGAAAAAAGGATTTATGTAGTTTTAATGTCCTGTCAGATTAACTAGAATTAAATAAATACACTTAAATAAGAAGAATTGCACTGTTTCTACTTTTCCAAATTTTACACTAATAGTGTAGCAATATGATGAAAAAGCAAGTAAGAAATCAGAATGTAGCTACTGGGAAAAAAAAGGCAAGAGGGAGTCTGAGGGTATAACATATTCTGAAGCTGGTCTATAGAGCAGATGGGAAAACTTGTTCTCTAATCTAATGACTTTCTTTTAATCACAAGCAGATAGTAGTTTCCTTATTACCCAAAGTTTTAGAAATACATTATTCTTGAGAGTACTTCCTAGGATTTCTTTTACTCATTTAAGACCACGTCTTTGTATTTAATTCATCCTCATATTATCCCTGCAGGGCATATCCCTCTAATTATTCCCATCTAAAGTGACAGGAAAATGGAATTACACTACTTGGAAAACAGACATCCTTTGGTATATCTTTTCTCAGTTCTGCCTTGGGCATAGTTTGTCATTGTGCTCACTTCATCACAGACCTGAGCTGTCCTTGAAGGTCAAGGACTGTGACTTCCCTGACTTTGAATTCGCAGTGCCTAGTACATGCCTGGCACAGAGGATGTACACAGTAAAAATCTGAATAAACGAATGAATAATAATCCCCAACATGTAATGCTTACAGCATATCAAGCACTATTCTAGTGCCTTATACATATTAACTCATTTAGTTCTCACAACCCTATGAAATAGGTACAATTATTATCCTCATTTTACATATGAGAAACTCAAGCACAGAAAGTAAAGCAAGGTTATACAGAGCCAGGATCTAAGCCTACGTACTTTCACTTTAGAGTCCAACCTCATAACCAGCACACCACGCTGCCTCAACAGTACCCGTGCTAAACAGAATGTTCAATTCCAAGAAAAGCATGGGTGCACTGTGTTCCCACCTCTAACATTTCTGGGTTTCTGTCAGATGTAGCTACACTGTGTGGTTCCTTGGGAGATTTAAAAAGGGAAATAACTGGACACAGGCACACAAATGCAGAATAAATGAATCCCCAATCTTAACAATTGCTGTGTTTGTAAGGCTGTTTCTCAAGTACCTGTGGGGATTTGTGAGAGCGCCAGCTGTACTGGTGACTGTGGAGACTCGCCAACAGAATATTTTCATCAGTATCCACCTGGCCAAACCGCATTGTCTCCTGTGTGTCATTACAGATCACAAAATGGCTGAAGACCAACTCCTCTACCTCAGGGCATTTGTTCTGAAAGAAAAAGAATATGAAAGCCAACGTGCATCAGATTAATTGCAAGATGTTTGGCAGCTGTCTGCCCAGTGGCGATTGTTACAACAGAGAAACACTAAAAGATCTGTTGTCATTAGCTCTGGTATACAAAGTATTCCATACTTTCAGGATAAGCACAGAAAATACCTTAAAGAGATCTTAAATGTTCCAAGAATATGTTTTGATTTATACTCTTGCAAAATAAATCATACACACAGAAGAGTAAAAGAACAATGAGAACCCTCAAACTTTTAACATTTTAAAATGAATTAACATGCTACAAAGAATGCTGTACTGAGTAGTACATGTTTTTGAGCAAAGTACTGGAGGCTAGAATTACCCTGTTCCCAGCCTTCTAAACTCAACAATCAAGACCAATTACCAAAGCCACAGTTTGTACCCTACAGAAAGTAAGGATCATTTAGGTAATACATCCCCAGATCCCTTAAGGGGGAGGGTGTGTGTGTGTGTGTGTGTGTGTGTAAATCTGCTCGGGGAGAGATGTAAATAAAACCATAACTTTCCCTCTATTGTTAAGAGGCTGAACACACAAAACAGATCAACTGCAGAGTCAGTGTAAGCCAAGTTGCAATTTTCAAGAGAAATAATGTTAGTTGAAAAACAGTTGTTGGTGTCTGTTTCAGCTAATAGTCATCAATCAGCTAATGTCTTCCATTAATCTGCTAAAGCTCAACAAATTAGTAATACGTTCTTGTGTTGATACCTCATTCTCTACTTAATGGTATCTTCATTGGTTGCTGTTATATCAAAACACTGGCAAGTGATAGAGCATTTCTGTGCTTACTCCTTTATCATTCTGGTTAGGTTATAGCTTAAAAAACAATAAACAGGAGCCAGCCCTGTGGCATAGTGGTTAAGTTTGTGCACTCTGCTTCAGTGGCCCGGGGTTCACGGGTTCCGATCCTGGGCTTGGACCTACATACCGCTCATCAAGCCATGCTGTGGCAGCCTCCCACATACAAAATAGAGGAAGACTGGAACAGATGTTAGCTCAGGGACAATTTTCCTCAAGCAAAAAGAGAAAGATTGGCAACAGTTGTTAGCTCAGGGCCAATCTTCCTCACCAAAACAAACAAACAAACAATAAACATACTTGTGGTAAACTAAAATAATAGCTAAATAAATGATTAACTTGAACAAGCAAGAAAAAACTCTTAATTAGCCAATCAACTGGCAGACAATGGGAGGTAATATGTAACTGATGCTTCTCCAGTTGGCTTCTACTTCATGGCTCTGGATCTAAATAACGCAATGCCCCACTCCATCATTTGCCATTTTACTGAGGGGAGGGAGAATAAAAGGGGCTATCACTCATGAGCATGGTGATTTAAGTGATTATGAGGCCTGAAGCCAAGAAATCTATGGATGAACATACCTGGACCAAGACCAGACCTAGAATCTCATCTAGAACAGTTATCATGGGAGGCAGAGTTTACTCCTAGTTATTCAGAAGGCCTCCAAAGTGGATGGGAAGTGCTCTATGGCTGCAGTTGGGAAGAGGCCCTGAAAGACCTCATTCTTCCAGAGGCCCCCGAGGGCTTCTAAGACCTCGCTCTATCATCCATCTATTCTCACCAAACCCCTATTCTCACGGAGTGGAACCTTGCTTGACAGCCACACATCACAAAAAGAGTATCTGGCTGAGTGAGACTAAAGCAACAACCAACGATTACCTGTTGTCTACCATAATACTCTCTGCTGTGGCTTTTAATCACGAGCTGTGATTTCAAAACTTGACTGCTGGCGGGTTTTAGAAGTCCTGCCTGCTCTGGCCCCTGCTGCATCTTGAACCACTCTCCCTTTGCTCACTACACTTCAGCTCTGCCAGCCTTCTTCAGCTCCTCCAACACTACACTGGTCCCCTTCAACTCAACCAACACGTCAAACTCCTTCCTGTCTCAGTGTCTTTCCTCTGCTTGGACCTCTTTTCCTCCGTGCTTGACTAACGTCTTTCTACTCAGCTTTCCGGTTCCTGTTTTCAGGTCACTTCCTCAGAGTAGCCTTCTGAGATCCTCCCCAGACCATGTTAGGTCCCCCTCTTTTATGTTCACATAACACTCTATATTTCACCTTCATAGCACTTACCCCTACTGGGATTAAGTAATTACTTGTATGACTATGGGTTCAATATTGTCTCCATCATTAGACTCTATACTGCATAAGGGCAGGAACCAGGTCTGTGTTATTTACAAGTTAAATCTCCAGTATTCAGCATAATGCCCGATACATAACTACTCAATAAACACTTATGAAACAAATACATTAGTAAATTTAATTTTTAAATTTATAATGTAATATAAGCTCACCGTAGAAAAATTAGAAAATACAGAAAGTATGGATTTTTTAAAAAAAAGTCTCTAATTTTACTCCCAGAGATAACTGCTATTAACATTTTGGTGAATTTTCTTCCAGCAGTTTTTCTCTTCTGAGTATCCTGCCTGTTCTTATCCTAGTCTATCCTATTCAATCCTATCTTACATATCTTATATATTTACGGGTTTGTAAACCTTTAATTAAACTGGAGTCACAGTATATAATTAGTTTTGATGAGATTTTTCCATTAGTATTATATAATCAACATAAACTGCTCTTCTTGTAAACATTTTTCTTTCCTTTAGGTCCAAGAGTACAACGATGAAGAAGGGGATACGATTCCAAACTCTCCCTTAGATCCACACCCTGAGATTAAAATTCAGTTTTCATAATGAATTGGGATCAATCTGCTGGTAACACAGAGGTTAAGTTACCAGATGGGGCTTGAGTAGAAAACAAATAGTATTACTTTCTTCATCTCTAAAAACTGACCTTTAATAAATGATGAGGGTTTCAGGAAAAAATGTAAATGAAAGAACACAAGGGGGTTGTTTACATTTTTCTGAAGAATACTCAAAGTCCTCAGGGAACTGTTTCTCTACTGCTCCTTCATCTGTGGAGTTCATTATAACTGTAATAAGTTTAAGCATTTCTGGGAATGTCTTAAATTCTGGTATATTATAAAAAAGTTGTATACATTTTATATGATATCATGTAGGTTAAACCTCAGAATGCTCACTCAGATTTGTAATTAAAAGACAGCTTATTTTGGGCCGGCCCCGTGGCTTAGCGGTTAAGTGTGCGCACTCCACTATTGGCGGCCCAGGTTCCGAAGCACCACTTGTTGGGCCATGCTGAGGCGGCGTCCCACATACAGCAACTAGAAGGATGTGCAACTATGACATACAACTATCTACTGGGGCTTTGGGGGAAAAAAAAAAGGAGGAGGATTGGCAATAGATGTTAGCTCAGAGCTGGTCTTCCTCAGCAAAAAGAGGAGGATTAGCGTGGATGTTAGCACAGGGCTGATCTTCCTCAAAAAAAAAAAAAAAGATAAAAAGACGGCTTATTTAAATTTAAGATTCGTGCAGTGTTGTAATTAAACAGATATTATTTTGGTGTAAGATAAGACATATGAGCATAACCTTGATTTTTAAATAAAAATTCCCTTTAAATGCTGTTTTGTCCAAATGTGGGAATGTGACATAGAAATATAAAGCAAACTCTAAGTGGCATCTTGGGTCCTTAATCTGGTTTCACAAAACATTAATCATTTACAAAAGAGAGAAAAAAATCTACAACCAGAGAAATCAGACAATGATGAAGGCTTCTGTTAATCTTGAACTTGTGACCTAAAGGTGAAAGGCCAAATTGTTTTACGCTTCAACGGTCTGCTCCATCCACACTGGATACAACTGACTTGTCTCAGATATGAACCCGATAAAAAGTATGTGGAGAACTCAAATAACTTATCCTGGTTATTAAATTCATATTTCTCATTGACAACAATTATACTGTATATGAGCATTATACACACAATAAAGTCCAAGCTTAGAAAACTAAACTTCCCCTCTAAAAGGGATAAACCACATTTGGAACATCTTAGAAACAAGAACTTAATAACCCTCTATAAGCACATTTCAACGTCAAATGTCCTATAATTTCAAAGTAGTGCATTTTTGTATTTGCTTTAGAATACATAGGGTTAGACGCCTACCACATTAAAACTTGGTGGCAAGTACCCTTGACATGGGAGGAAACAAGAAAATTACAGCAACAATTACAGAAGTATATCCTCTTGTGGCTCATGTTAACATTGCCAAATCCCTGTATAAATCAGAACCAACTATTCATAGAATGTACCTGTCAGCAATATGCTACGTGACATATGGCTCTACTTAATCAAATATACAATTCCATTTTTAAAAAAACTTAGAATATTCCTTCAAGGCACTGTGTTAGCCAGTCAGTCATTCACACTCTGATGTGGTTTAAAACATTTAAATATTTATGCACCGTATTTTATTTATATGTATAGCTGTGTCTAACAGAATATTTTTATCCTGGGAGGAAACTGGTGTTTCTGAAGGCCATTTTGCAGTAGTTGCTACACATGAGTCCTCTTATAATGGCCCTGATACCAGGACAAAAATATCCTAGGCTTAAATGCTCTATCAATGACTCTTTTATATTTTCTAGGTTTGTTTTTTGTTAAATGCATTGTTCAAAATATGACAAAAAACAGAAATTGGAGCCATGGAGGTTTTTTTCACATCGCTATTCAAACCAGCTGCAAAGATTTAGATCACACTAGCTCTTATTTTACGCATGTCCTTTGCAACAAGAAAACCATGGAATGCCCTTAAAAAAGAATTTTAAAATATGAAACAGATGTGTTATCTTCTTTCCCTTTGCTATTGTAGTGCCATGTTAGGTAATTAATTCCTTAGTCTAGTATAGGTCTTCATGCATATAAAGAAAAGAGTTTATTCCCATAAAAATTCTTAAGTTAGAGAACTCAAGCCCCTCCCCTGCTCCCCTGCCACCGTCCCCACATGAGGTCAGTGTGGGATGAAGGACCATTTCCCTTGGTGAGCCAGCTAGCTTTGCACAAATGCATGTAACATACACAAAATGTGGGGAAATGTCTCAGCTTAAATAGCAACACAAACACTAAGGACATACAATATTATACTGAAAATCAGTAAGGGAAACAGAATTGATTTGTTGTTCAACTGCTGAGTATATTATTATCAAACATTCTGTGAAATTATTTTCCTGATAGTGGACATGGACAGGTTCCTCATTTTAAATATGCCATTCAGCATAGACTTATATTTCATCTCTTTTTTGATATGGCTAATTTCTGACAAGAGATAAAAGTAAAAAATTATTAACCAAGAGTCTTTGATTAAAAAAATTCATTATCAAGTGCTTTGTAGTGAATCAAAATGGCAGAATGATAGTGAGGGGAAAGATTAAGACTATACTGAGCTCGCATATTTCCTCTCACTGTTTTTTCTCTTTGAAAAGATGAAATGCTTATTATCAGAAAGGCTCCCACAGGTTCTTCATTTCTGCAATGGATGCTTAGACAATTTCAGACATAGCTAAGTTGAAGCTTTGGCAAACTAAAGCCATAATACTTGGAAAAAATTTCTGGGAATATGTTACTTTCCACACAGATGTGGTACATTAGTCACAAAAATGTGGGCATGATCTCCGATGCCTGTGTAGAGAACCTGTATTCTCCAAAGCTTTTAAAAATAACATGCATCACTTTGCCAAAACAGAGAAGGTCCCAAATATTATAGTGCCCATCAAATTCTTCATTCCCTCACATTTTTGTTTGTGCTTAACTTACTACTAGAGTGATAACATAGAGTGCCTAGTAAAAGATCACACGTAAACTGTAAATTGTTCTAGAATGTGCATACCTGTTGCCAAGCTTGTATTGCAGTGTTTAGAGAATGAACTACATGTTGCCCAAAGTTTACAAATATAGACTCAACTATGATGGTGCAGTCAAGCAACTTTTCTACCGCATCACTGGAAACCGCAATCTGTCCAAAGATGCTGAAGGGTTTCACCACGCTTTGCATCGTAACATTTCTGCATTCTAGAAGTTTACAGTCTGCTTGAGCTGAGAACCGGATGTCCTGACAGACAGAACTATTATTCCACTGTCGAAGATAGATGTGTGGTTCTCTGAAGGAAATAATCATGTATTCTAGTTCAGATGGCATATTTTTATCAGAAATAAATGGCTGTAGGTATTGTGGTGGAGCTGTTGAGAAAACAAACAAGAAATACAGCAATTGAGATGAGTCAATACTTTATGGAAATAGAGACAACATTTAAATTATTAGACTTTCTGGTTATTGAATTTAATATTTGGTGTTTAATAAATTCAAACATTCTCTTGAAGATATTACAATATCTGAATTACCACTTGATATTTGCAAACAAAACTGTTTTGTTCACTCAGCAAGTCTCTCAAATATATATTGTCCAAAGGTTACATTCACTTTCAAAGAGAAAAATTTGATCACTGAAGACAACAAATAAAATGAAGAGGAGGTAAATATCTAAGGAGAGTTTTATAGAAGTGCTCTGTACCTACCAACCAAATCACAAAACCAAAAACATGACTCAAAAAGAGTTAGAAAAAGCAGGTTTGGGCCGGCCCCGTGGCTTAGTGGTTAAGTGCGCGCGCTCCGCTACTGGCGGCCCGGAGTTCGGATCCCAGGCGCGCACCGACACGCTGCTTCTCCGGCCATGCTGAGGCCGCGTCCCACATACAGCAACTAGAAGGATGTGCAACTATGACATAAAACTATCTACTGGGGCTTTGGGGAAAAAAAAAAAGGAGGAGGATTGGCAATAGATGTTAGCTCAGAGCCGGTCTTCCTCAGCAAAAAGAGGAGGATTAGCACGGATATTAGCTCAGGGCTGATCTTCCTCACAAAAAAAAAAAAGAAAGAAAAAAAAGAAAAAGCAGGTTAAATTCCATTTTTGCTGAAAAAGCAAGATGCTTAACAACAGCTGTGTTTAGTTTTAATCTGATTTTTTTTTTCCTTTTTCCATTACATGTAGGTTGAAAATCTAATACCTAAATCAAGATGTATTAACTAGAAAAGGCTTGGTATAGACTTTTAGGAATAATTATTTATGTAACATTAGCAAATTTGTAAAAGGCTACTTTGGTGTGTGGGAAAATTTAATCTTCTACCTTACAAATTTGTAAAAATGCTAGTCCTTTAAATTATTGGCAAATTTGCCCATCTTTTGTAGAAGGCATTCGTGCTTTTGAAATCAGGTAATATCAACTACTTTTGGAATCTATTTGCCATTAATGTGATGGCTCAGGATACAGAACAAAAACAGACATATTTCTTTCAAAGAGATCATAACTAGAATAATAGTAAAACCTGCAATTTTTGTAACTTCCTTGAAAATTCTCATTGGGAAGCATGCAAAACCATGTCAGTTCAATACAGTTGATAACTCATATAACAGGTCCACAAAATGGTTCAAAGTAAGGGGAACACCTGTTATACAAAATCAACTTCAGAATAACTTTGCCAGTGCTTGTCGTTACAGGAAATGAACGCTGCTTCTAAAAATTTCCACCACCATATGGGTATGGGTGCTGATTAGTAGTGAAGGAGCTTTGGGTCAGGGAAGTGATTAGCAACTACAGAACCTTGAGACATCAATAATATTGTAATACACAGAATGGAAACCCCTCGAAGCCTTTTTACTTCCTGAAATTAAATTATCTGGGTAAAAATTGATGAATTGTGTCTTGAGAACACTCAAGACAAAACAATAAGTATTAAGTGGATGTTATTCCGATACTAAAGTAAAGAGTACCTGTGCCTAGTTGATCAAGGTGATGACAAAGACGGAACTCCAGGTGAGCAAACTGGAAGGAAATGCAAAGAGATGGGACAAACCACGGGGTAAAACAGGAGTCGACTCTGGTACAGGCAGCCAGGGCTGTTGGAGTTACAAGTTGGTCACAAGCGCTTTGAGAACCGGATTCACTTGCAGAACTATGGGAAATAAGTGATAAAAGAAGTTCAATAGCCTAAATTTCCCAAAATATAAGTGAAATGTCTTTCTATACGGGTTTTTAAAGCTAGCACCCACAATCCTATAGTCAATATGTTATCATCAAATCTTCCATATTTACTCACATAAACTAGTTGTTTTTAAAAATTAGGTTCATGTTGATTATTTTCTATGAGTTATTAGCAGAAAAATTTCAAAAGATTCCTCAAACCCCAGGCCATGTTGACCTACCTCCAACCCAATTTTCTTCCATCCACATCTCACATAACTTATGGACAACTTGTTCTCTTATTAGTTTAAGACCAACACAATTCAGAATATGACTTTGCTGTTCAAAAAACCCAATACTTTCAGTGTCACCATAAATGTTTCACTTTTGTTTTACTTCTCCAGATTGCCCATATCCATATTCCCATATGAATTAGTCAATACTCTTTATTGAACATCCACTGAATACTGCACTAGGTGCCATGAAACTTATGACCATGTCCAGAAGAACCAAGGTCCCATGGGCAATTACACTGCATAGGTCATCTCTTCACTTGTCCATTGGCTTAACACCATTTTATACAAGTAATATCTGATGAAAAGGAATAGTGAAGGCATCCATAGGAGGGAAGAAGTTTTTACTTGGTGGCTGCTGGTGTGCAAGAGAAACATGCTGCCTAGTTGCCTTGCCTCAGTACTAGTAGAAGCATGAGAGCTGGGGATTGGGAGGGGGCAAGGTGCATCCTGGTAATTATGGATCACTGAATAGATGCTGCCCAATTCCCCCTCACTGTTCTCTGTCCTCCTCTTTCTAAATCTGAAATTTGCTCTGGCTTCCAAATCCTTGAGGAGCCTACAGAAGAAACACTGTAATTTACAGTATCCTAGAGAGAACTATGACAGGAAAAACTAAAGACATAAATCCTTGGTTTTCAAAGAACTCACAGTCTAACTGGTGATATAAAATATGTAGACATTTAGAAACATTATAAAACAGAACAACCACCCAGGAATAGGAAAGCCGGAAGTGCTGCCAGAGTGGAAACATAAGAGGAACTCAGAATGGCGTGAGGTGAATCATGGGAGATTCTCAGAGTGCGAATCTTCAGCTGAGTTTAGAAAGAGGTTGTGAAAAGGCTGGTGAAAACAAAAGCTAGGAGCATTCCAACGCATTTACGGAGTGTTTAACTTGAAGGAGTTGATAGTTCTGTGGTGCAATGTTAGTAAATCTCCATTGCATACAAAGAAAACACACACTCTGGTGCAATATGCTATTGACTGAATGCTATGTACAAAAATGCAGCTAAGTACACTCTTAAAACCTTCTATAAATTGGCAAACTAATCTAAATAGCTTTCTAGGAATTTAACTGTGGAGTTACAGACAAAAGATTTCATTGGCAAGGTAAAGTTAAAACTTGTATTTATTCAGAAAGAGCAAATGTATTAGTTGCACATGTGTTTTACACATATGAACTCTTTCTCTTATACCACTTTAAGAAGTTGTTAAAAATAGGGTACAATGTTAGTCAAAATATTATTAAAAATCCAGGTAAGAGTTCTATAAGATCAGTTTTAAAACAGTGAGTATATAATTTGAGGTGTTTATCTGAAGTATTTTTCTTGCCAACTACAATTTTTGACAATCTTGAGGTTTTCCAAGATTTATTTTTCTATCTCTTGAGAGTAGCAGATACTATATCATATTAAAGAAGTTTGCTAAATCATCGCGAGTATGTGCTGCAATCTTTATTTATAACAAATTGATTAATTCTTCATTTTTCCTAAATTAAATGCACAAACAAAAGGTTAAAAGGGTATTTTTAGGTATATATAGTAACTCCCAACATACTCACTTGGTAGCAATACTCTTTCAGGCTTGAAATCCTGACTAAAATGGTTACTAGGTTAATCTATATTTAAAAATTTAGACTTTTATTTAAAAATTGGAGTCATATCAAAATAAAAATTCCTTAAACAAAATTAACATGGTATATATAATCTGAATATACTTAAACTATATTTTGAATCACTAATAGTTTTTTGATACTCAATTTGCTCATCATTATATACCATAAAAGTAGTATACATATGTTTACCTTTTACATAAGGATTAAAAAGACCGAAGTGTAATAGAGCTAAACAGTCATAAACATGAGAGTCATGGCTCTGCTAGGGACACTTACAGAAGCTACATTTGCATAATTTCCTTAATTAAGTACAATGGACTTTGCTCTGATCCAGATATCAAAAGGAAAAACATAATTTATAAGATGTATATTAAGCAGAAATAGAGAGGAAAGTAAAAATGGCTCCTAGGAGCAAGACCTCTCAAATAGTAATACAAAAAACTCAAGATTCAGTAGCTAGTTCAAGTATCAGTAAGTTCCTAACAGAAACTCAAATTTTTAGAATAGCAGAAATATTCTGAAAAGTTAATAGTATGGCAGGAGTGTTACATATCCATACCTTCATTTTACCCAAAGGATTACTTGTCAACTGTCCTGAGCGAATTATAGAGGGACATCAATTCTTAAAACAAGGGGTGTTTTAGTAAGTCTAGGTCTTGACTGATCCATACGCACTGCAAGGACCCAGGCATAATCCTTAAAGATTCACCCCCAGATGTCATTCTAGGGTGAACCCCTATGGCACTACAGGTACCCATCAATGATCTGACTTGATTGACGAAGGCTTGAGCTTTTCTCTGGATCCTTCTGTGGTAATAAGAGTTTTATCATATCTCACGCCATAGCATAGTTAAGCAGAGAATGACTGGGGTGAGAGGCCCTAGACGAGAACGCTTGCACGCTATCACTTATACTGTAATCGTGGGCAAATTACTTCATCTGGCTAAATCTCAGTTTTCTCATCTGTAAAATGAGTATAGTAATTGGACCTATTTTTTGAGTACTAAATGAGATACTGCATACAAACTGCTTAGCATAATGTCTAGCACTCCATAATAATAATAAAAAAAAAAAACCCATCCTTCTTTTTCTGGCTGGCAAACAGGGCATACCATACTGGCTACATAGTTTAATGTTAATTGTTGGTGATTACTTTTAGCACCCAAGAGGGGTCTCACAATATCACACTGACATTCATCTCAATGTGGCATTGTCTCTTGGCACTGGTTCACCTAAACTCTCTCCTGCCTACTGCAAAAACACTGCTCTGTCCATCCTGGGAGAGTGCTGCATGGATGAGAGAAGACAAGGGAGGATGGTGTGCCTGCTGCATCATGTTCTCTCGACTCCTCAGAATCATCGTTTTTTAAATGTTTTAACTCTAACTCAAAATAAGAAATACACTTTTATTGTAATCTAGTACACATATAAAATGGGGAGGAGTACTGTAAATATGACACACTCTGATATTTTAAAAATTGTGGTAAAATACATATAACATAAAATTTGCTATTTTAACCATTTAAAAGTGTACAGTTCAGTGGCATTAAGTACACTCACACTGTTGTGCAACTATCAACACCATTGATCTCTGGAATTGTTTTATCTTTCCAAACTGAAACTCCATAACCATTAAACAATAACTCCCCATTCCCCTCTCCCTCATCCCCCAGCAACCACCATTCTACTTTGTCTCTATAAATTTGTCTGCTCTTGGTATCTCACATAAATGGAATTATGCAACATTTGTCCTTTTCACATAGATATTTTCTATTTTATTAAAAAAAAATTCCAGCTGCAACTTGCTAAATCGATTTCATGATCCACTAATGGGCTGCAATCTGTGGTTTAAAAAAACAGGCTTAAATGGGTCTTCAGGTAAAGGACGCCTTCATATCTGACTTTAAAAAACAGAGCGAGCAAGAGAGAGAAATCTCCCACGGGTCAGAGAATAAGCACCAGGACAGAGAGACTTCATTAATACCATCAGCCTAGAACTTTAGGTAAGACTGGAGGAATGCTGAGTACTTTGGGGAATGCGTATGGGGAGAAGGACTACCTGGCAAAAGACCAACTCCCTGGAGGGGTTGTTACATAGAGTTCAATCACCACCTAAAAGGAAATAGTAAAAGGCTTCATAATTTTATTTATTTATTTATTTATTTATTTTCCCCCAAAGCCCCAGTAGATAGTTGTATGTCATAGCTGCACATTCTTCTAGTTGCTGTATGTGGGACACGGCTTCAGCATGGCCAGCAGTGTGTGGGTGTGCGCCCGGGATCCGAACCCGGGCTGCCAGCAGTGGAGCGTGTGCACTTAACCTCTAAGCCATGGGGTCGGCCCCTAAAAGGCTTCAAAAAGACACTTGAGGAAAAATACAAGTATCCTTCTACCCAAAGGAGACAAGGCAAAAACTCCTGTTCAGCCCTAGGAAAGAATTTTCTGGATAAATCCTGGATTATATCATTGTATGACTAGCAACATAGGTGACAAAGTGGTTCCAAATGTCAATATTTCTATCTGAATGGTTTATGAAAGTCAAAAGATTTTTAAAAACAGTACCCAACAAATTTAGGTACATCTAAAAGTGCAGATCCAAGTAGCCAAATGGAGGGGAACAATACCTGGAGGCCACAGTCACCTTCTGGTAGAAGAAAGTTCAACCAGTGAGAGAAAAGAAATGATCCAGGGACTTGACCATCACAACGCTCTTCCTCTGATTCCTCCACTGTCTACATATGCAAGAATCAAGGCTTTGGGAAATGAAAAGCATCTGCTCCATCCACACAAAAAAGCTGTGGACCATTGTCTCAAAGATAACTAAATATGAGTGGACAGTGACTTTTTTTATGGGATCTTCGGGGAGTAGGAGAAAATCTTTTTTTTTTTTTTTTTGACACATATAAAGATGAAAGTACTCCGAAAAACTCACTAGAGTTTCAAATTTCATTGCGTGAAGAAAAAGCCACACACCCTCAAGCCACTTCTCTTTCCAGGATGCCTTCTTCCACGAACCAGCATTTTGGGGGTGGGGATATAAAGTCCTTGTAAGCAATCTGCTCTGAGATGTTTAGCATCATGAGAAAATGACCATGCAATATGGACCACTATCCACCAAAGACTTGGCACAGGTGAACAGAATTTAGCAGTATCATCAAACAACTTGTAATCAAGATAACTGGACATATATATCAAGATCTGCACAGTTATTATTGTGCTACATGATAATTGCCTGTAATTTGTGTGACTTTACATAGTCACATACTTCTGGAGTTAGCCGTTCGGGGTGAGGATAAGAGGGAGAAACAAAGTAGAAAGCTGCTCTGGTCTATCAGAAGACATCTGATTGATACCAGACCCAGGGAATCTAGCAGGGTGGCCCAAAGCCTGAGAGTTGGGCCCACCACTCTGTTTCCCTTTTTTCCTCCTAGGGTCAGTCACTGGGTAAGAAACTGTAAATTCTAAATACAGTGAGCACTTGCTGGCTATCTTCCGTTTGCTCTCTAGATCCACTTTCTATCCTTCCTCATCTTCTTCTCTGCCCCTGGACAGTATCAACAAGTTGCTTTGTCCTCTGGTTTGTCCTTTGGTTCAGCCAGTGGGAGATGCCCACCAGAGATAAGAAGGTGGGAGAACAGTAGGGTGAGGGTATGTATTCCCCTGGCTCCTTCTTGGCCACATCTCCATACATTGCTGTGTCCCTCTACCAAAAGCAGCGACAATCACCCACTCTGAGTTACTTTTGGTAATGGCTCTATCACCTGGCTCCTTCAGGCCTAAGAGTGGGATAGTTCCCCAGGGTTCCTAGCCCCAGGGTACTGAACCTTCCGTTAACCCTGCCCGCACTTTTCTAAATAGTGCTTTCATTAAACTCTCCTCAACCACCCAGTTTGAGTGTGCTGTTTCTTGTCAGGACCTAACTGATAAATGGGGTTTATTTAGGCTTCAGCAATAGGCAATGGGTGTAGTTTAATACATATCTGGTGAGATTAAAGATAAATAGTTGAAATAGATATCCTGATCATGGCTTAAAGGTTGTATCTCTTGCCTCCAGTCCACTGTACAGCAAATAGAAGTCTCCTATAGATCAATACTACTGTAAAAATTAATTAAGCTTTAAGTTACTTAACTTCAAATGCTACCTTCAAGAAAACATAACCATTACCAATCATTCTTTTTCATATGATCAAGCAAACCATTAGTTAAAGATGGTAGAATGTAATTATTACAAATACACAGAGATTGAATTAAAGATAGTATACCCATATGAGATAAACAGACCAAGGTTTAAGAGATTGAATCTTTTGTCTCCAGTATTTTCTATTGAAGGCTGCCTGCCACCCCTTGGGCTGAGCATCCTATTTTTAAGGAAGACCTCAGATTAGAAATCAGTGTCTCAAGGCCCAACAGTTAGTTGGTAATAAAGGCAGGACTTAAACCTGGGTCTTCTAACTTGAAATTCTCTATTAAATAGTGCTTCTATTTACTTATACACAGTAATGCTATTACCACTGAGTTACCCTATACTGTTGTAACTTTATGCCAATTGTGGGCAATATGCTTTATTTATTTTTTTTTAAGATTAAGCTTCATGGGACTTATTTTTAAGAACTTTCTTCTAGTAATGTATAAGTCTGATGCATATCCTCCTCAAACTACTGAGAATATTACTTATGATAAGACAATCTCTAATCATAAAACTGTCAGTTTTTGTTCAGTTCTAGATTTCTCGTGACAAAATATACTAAAGCTAACTGTAGCAGTTTTTTTCTGCATGAACTGTTGACGTATTATCAAAGTACTGATGTTTTCTCTCTAGAAACTGGATGAAATTTATTCACTGTCCCTTTTGAAAAATTTCTTAATAGTATTTTATTATGTTGACTTTTAAATCGACTCTTTAAATTTAATTTCATTAATATCAATTTCTACCTGAAAAATGGTTAATGTCAAACAATTTAAAAGCAAGATCCATTGTAAAATATTAGGTAATTGGAAAAATCCCAGGTGAGGACAAAAGATCGGTGATTACAATGTCAAAAGCTTGTTGAAAAATTGCCTGAATTTGATCGTCTGCATAAATTTCCATTCCCTAAAGGTTCCACATTTCTGTAGCGCTAAGCTTACCACAAAAGTAATTTTTATGAATGTTTCACATTCAGAAGAATTAACCTTCATCTAACATGCTTTTTTCAATGATGAAAGTGCATTCTTTCATAACTAGAATCAAGAAATGATTTCTAACTCGATACTATTAATGAAACTCAGATTTTAAAAAATCAATTTCATTACCCACAGCTCTATTTTCTGAAATTTCCTAGTTTTTGACTAGGTAGCCTATACTAAGAATAGGCAATCTTTCTATCCATCTGCAAACTCCTCACAGGATGGGTATTCTTTTCTTTTCCTTCTTTTTTTTTTTTTTTTAATAATTTTATTTATTTATTTTTTCCCCCAAAGCCCCAGTAGATAGTTGTATGTCATAGCTGCACATCCTTCTAGTTGCTGTATGTGGGACATGGCCTCAGCATGGCCGGAGAAGCGGTGTGTCGGTGCGTGCCCGGGATCTGAACGCGGGCCGCCAGCAGCGGAGCGTGCGCACTTAACTGCTAAACCATGGGGCCGGCCCTGGGTATTCTTTTCATTGCTGCATTACATATAGGTAAAATCAAGATCCCACCCCTCTAATATATTTTCACTAATTGTATATTACTAGATAATACACTAGGAAGGTAATTATTTTTAAAGAGTCCAAATGACCTAGAAATAGAATATATAAAGTATAAAACATTATTATTAAGCATACAAAGTAATCAATGAAAAAGACTATGAGGTTACAGACTAAAATGTTGAGGATATCTCAGTGTAATATGATTATGGGTGGTGGTATTTTCTTTATTTCCCCAATGTTCTCCAATAAACACATATCATTATTGATGAATAAAAAAAAGCATTCAGGGCCGGCTTAGCGGTTAAGTGCGTGCGCTCCACTGCTGGCGGCTGGGGTTCGGATCCCAGGTGCGCACCGACGTACTGCTTCTCCGGCCATGCTGAGGCCGCGTCCCACATACAGCAACTAGAAGGATGTGCAACTATGACATACAACTATCTACTGGGGCTTTGGGGGGAAAAAATAAATAAATAAAATTATTAAAAAAAAAAAAGCATTCACAGCTATTTATAATATAAAGCAGGAATCAGAATACAAAACGGTGTGCTATGATTATAACCTTGCAAGGCAAACAATAATGGGCAAAAATAAAGGTAACATAGAAAAGAGAGAATAGTTGATGTGCAGGGTGTTGGAATGGTGGATGTTTTTTCTCTCTGTTAGTCTGAGAATGTTGTTTGGGGGAAAAAGAAGAGATTATATAAAAAGAATAAGATAATGCTCAAGCCCACTCATCAGGAGAATTTGAAGGTAAGACACTGAAAGTGATGAGCAGCAAGACGGGCATAGGCCCACCGTACACATAATATCATATGACCCAAGAAAATTGTTCCACTGATAGTGATTTAGTATCTTCTAATATCTGGAAGCTTGTCTTTTAAAGTTTTTTTTAAACCACCTAAGAAGGATATATTTTCAAAATTTATCTTTTTAGAAGGAGCTAATTCAATTTATTTAACCTTTTCTTTTAATGCCCCAGGGTTATCACTATACATATTGATTACCGTATCATTAAGAGTCTATTGAGGTGTGTATAGCTCTTTTCCTCTATAGTTTTTGGTTCAGGATGACTGGATTTTTTTTCTTAGTTTGCATTTTGTACTTTTTTCTTTTTATATTTAAGGAACAGGTTCTCAGTGAGGGCTCACAGGGCTGTATTATGAATAAAACACAGGATTATTAGTACACAGACTTTGAAACATTAGCTTCTATCTTGCTTCCTGGTTCTCATCTGTGGTTCAGACAGAAGCAGCTGCTAGACAGCTGAGACAGAGCTAAGTGAGGGCTCACTAGATGAGATGACCTGACGATTGTTTCCTAGTACAATGTCACTATTTCATTTTTCACTAAGTTACCTTTGGTCATCAGCTCCATTTTGACTGCTGTTCAAGACAATTCTCCAAAGATCCGAGGATACCAGTTTCTTCTGGTCATTCACAAGATTGATATTTGGCAATTGCAGTTCACAAACTTTACTTTCAGACAGACTAAATTCTCGGAATGCAACAAAAATCTTCTGGAGTTCATCCCAGTATTCCAAACTACAAGGAATCTATGTTAAAATAAAGAAGATTTTAGAAGTTGCAAATAGAAATTACGCTTCTATATTTGTTGAAATGCAATTAAACCTTCATAAAAGTTATAACATTAATAAGACTTTTAAAGGGGATAAGGTTATACAAGACAGTAGTTTAGAATTTCGTTCCATAGTTTTACTCATCCTGTTTACCTACTTTATTTTAAAAGACTCATTCAAAAAATAAATAAATAAAAGACCCATTCAAGAATAATACGTGAAAATAGCCAAGAAATTTTGTAAATAAAAGAGAAACAATGGGGAACAAATTTTACCAGGTGTTAAGTGTATTTTAAAGCTACTGCAATTAAAAGATAAGGTTGGAGTAGTAACTTACAAACAGATTAGAAGAATAGAATAAAAAATAGTGTAAGATGTAAGTATAAATAAATTTTAGTATGTAATGAAGGTGCCATTTCAAACAAGTAGGGGAAAAGTGGGAAATGAGGTTGCAAGAACTGGACAGCCATTTGGTAAAACCAAAGTGAATCCATTTGGTAAAACCAAAGTGAATCCTTACATCATTCCTTCACGAAAGTAAATTCCAAAAGGATCAAAGTGTTAAAGGCTAAAAACTGAAAACATAAGAGAAAAAAATCAGTTAATATTTTTATCATAATAGGGAAGCCTTTTCTATGTATGGCATGAAACCCATGGATGGGGAAAAAACCACACAACTGACACAATCATAGTAAAAAAAAAAACAGGAAAACTAGGATAAGACAGGTAACATTAATGATAGATCTAGGAATAATTGTCGTGATAGCAGAGAGCTCTTAACAAATCAATGAGAAAAAAGTAAACGTACAGAAAAATAAGCAAAAGCAGTTGTTGGAAAAGGCATTTAGCCGTGGGCCCTGAATGTCCCTGCATGTTTTTGCTAGGTAAGCAAAGGATGCAAGGCCCTGGGAGCTGTTAACTTTGGCGATTTCACCGGTTGTGTTTGCAGAGAGCAGCCTTGAGGGATGAGGTAAAGTCTTTCTCCAGGACAAAGAGCAGACTTGCTCTAAAAGAGGTAGATTTGACAAGCTCCACGTTTCTCAGCTGTGCCATTCCCCCTAGAGGCCCTTCTGCATCACCCTCATGGGACCTGGGGGCAAGAGGAACCAATGCAAACATGATGCTCATGCTAATTGTGCCTTGCCCTGAGCAATAATGTTTTTTGTTTCTGACTCAAGAGTCTTATGTCTTCCGCCACCATCTACGAAACACTAACAGGCTAATTTATTAGTTTGCAAAAGGTAAAATCCCAGACTCTGACAGCAATTAGTTCACAGAATAAGAAATATAACCAGCCAGTAAACATGAAAAGATACTCAACTTCACTAATACTTAAAGAAATTCAAATTGATGAACAAAAATATTACATTATTGCTTTAATCTAGCAGTTTTAAAAGACTGACAATTCCAATTTCTGTACAGGTGTGGGGAAAAAGCATTTTTACCCAATATTTTTGGAGGGTAATTTGGCAATATCTATTAAATGCTTGGAAGTACACGTCTAAGAACGTCTTACAGAGATTCCAATGTCAGTGTGTGTGTTTATGTATATTTACTGCAGTACTGTGTTAGTAAGAAATTGGAAACAACTCAAATATCCATCAATAGGGGATTAGTTAAACATAGCACGCAGATCTATACAAGGGATTATTGTACAACCATTAAAATGAATAAGGAATATCTATATATACTAACATAAAAGACAAACAAGATTTATTACTAAATTTTAAAAAGTAGGCTTTAAAATAGAACATGTGAGTTGATCCCATTTGTTTTAAAAGAAAAAAAGAAGATTGGGCTCAGATATGTCTGTTTTTTTGGAAGCATTCCCTAATTACCATCCTTAGAGCTTATACTGCCTCTCTTGTGTCACTTCTATATCTAATAAACTCCTCTATCATAGAACTCAATACACTTTACAATTCCTTGTTTACATGTTTGTCTCCTTTAGTTGACCCTGAAATCCTAGAGGCAAAAATGGCACATTATTTTTAAAAATGTTCTTAGTATCTTACACAGTTTTTGGGATACAATAGGATCTTAATAAAAGCTTCCTGAATGAATAGATTTCTCCTTAACTTTTCTTTCCTAAATAAGTGATTCTTAATCTTTCAATGGGAATAAATTTTACCTCCACCTATAACAAAGTTTCTTTTCTTTAAACAGGGACTTGAATATCCATGTGTGGAGAGATGCTAGAAGGAAGAAAGGGGAACAAAATGGACATGAATAAGAGGCTAACAGTGTGATGAAATAGAAGCATATGTTCTGGTCAGTGATAAGGACAAGTAACACACTCATAGTATTCCACTTTTAGCCACCATTTCTTGAAATTCTCTCTTTTCTTGCTTTCTATGACATACTTTTTTCTAACTTTCCCTTCTCTGGGTCTTTGTTCCTATATTCTCTTTCAGCCTGAAATACCCATAGATTCCCTAGTTTCTCATTGTCTCATGTCTAAATCCTTCCCATCTATCAAGGTCCAAATGAAATACCACCTTTCTTTGAGCCTTTTCACCCCCCCTCAGATGGAAAAATTCTCTCCCTTTTCTGAAGTCCAATAGCTTTTTGAAATGAGAATCCGTTTCATAGCTCTTATCACTGTATACCTCATGTTATAGTTATTTCTATACATGACATCTTCCTTAGTAGACACATGCCTTGAGGGAATGATTTCCAGTTGGCTAAGCTTTGGATTTTCACAGCACCTGGCAAAGCATATATAGTGAGTGTTCAAAAAAAGTTGCTGAATGAATAATTCATGAATGAATTAATGAATATACATATACTGGGTGCTTCAGCCCATTTCTGGCACATAAAAAAATCTCCACAAAGATGTACAGAAGATGAAAGCATGAACTTTGGAGTCAGACCTAACAGGATTTAAGTCCTAGCTCCATTAGCTATGAGTCCTTGGGCAAATTAATTTCTCTAACATCAATTCCCATTATCTCTAAAAAGGGGATGACAACAGAACTACTCTCATGAAATGTTGTGAGGATTAAATGAGACAAAACATCTCACTTAATATCCACATAAAAAAAGCTTAAGAAATGTTAGCTACTAATTATTTATCCTTGTCATGCTCAAAAAACACTTCCTAAGCTAGGGGTTGTGACCAGAATCAGGAAGGTTGTGATTAAGAGTCCTGCTTGTTAGATTTCTTAACAATGGCTTGGATCCCTGGGAAGAAAATAATAAACCTTGAACCTGGATGTTCAAGAACACTGTAATCATAGTTTAATATGGTTTTGTGCTACACACCTATTAAAATGTGGCCCTCTAGGTTGGCTATGACTTGAGAGATAAAGGAATATCTCATTGTTTAACTCCTCTCGTGACTGCCAGTGAGTCAGTCCTTTGGCTTAGGACATTCATAACCAGAGGTGCATAAGATGTGGGAAGTAGGATAAGACAGAGAAAAATATAAAAATCTCAGTGGAAGAGGGCAAATAAGTTTATAAAAATCATATTTAATACACCTATTTTTTTTGTAATACAAATAATAGAATGTAAATTCAAAATTATCTTCTTGGTAGAGAGGTTACACACAAAATAGGGTGAAAAAAATACTTGTTTCTGGTATTATCTCCAGACGTTCTCCATTAAAATATATCATAGCTTATGAAAATTATCTGTCACATTGGAAAGCAGAGTAGGGCCTTAAGGAAAAAGTACTAGCGAGATTTGATGTACAAGGCGAGGGTTGGAATAGGTCCATAATATAAGGCAATCCAAGCTGGGAACCATTGCGGGAAGCCATTTCGCAGTTTAGGGGCAATGAAAGTGGACTGTACCAACAGTGGGGCTTAAGAAAGGAGGAACTGCTGGAGTTCAAAAAGACAGATTTGGAAGAAAGCCAAAAAAATCTTTATTTGGTTCACAACTTTGTGTGAGGTGGGCTCTGTGGTTACATACTTCAATTGGAACATTCCAGGCTACTCTGAAAATTCAGAAAACAACAGAAAACTACTATAGAAATACATCCCAAAATATGTCAGTTATGTGTTTGTCAAGATTTTCCTTTATACACCCTATTTTCCTTGGTTAATAAAGGAGTATTAATAAATTCACTCCAAAAAAGACTTCTGTTGAAAAAATTTTAAATTGTATGCCTATAAGTGTGTTTGCAAAGGTCACATAGTAATCCTTTTCCCCATTATAAGGATATATTTGTCTTCAAAACTTCAAAAGAAAAGCTAATAATAACACTGAGTACAATTAGTATTCTAAAGGTAATTTTAGTCAATTGTACATTCAAATATATATTGATCCATAAATTTATAAACCATATAGATATAATCTTTATATATTCTTATTTCTCCATTATAAAAAAAATCTTGTTGGTATTACACTCAGGATAAAATCCTGGCTCTGACACTTAGTTGTCTACAACTAAGCAACACTTTGTTACTCTCTACAACCTTCAGCAACTTATTTAATGACTGATCCTCAGGTCCCTCATTTGTGAAATGCAGGTAATTAAAACTATATTGTTTTTAGGCTGTGTTAAGGATTTTGGACTTTATCTTAATGTCAGTGGGATATCTTTGAAGAGTTTTAAGCAAAAAAGTAATGCAGTTAAATTTATCTTTTTAAAAAAGATAAATTTATCTTTCTGGATACTGTGTAGAGAATGGATTAAAAAGGGGCAAGCATGGATATGAAAAGACCAATTAGTAGGCTAGTGCAATGTCTAAGCCAGAAATGTAGATGTCTTAGAGTATGGATGGTGGCAGTAGAGTGGTATGTGGGAGATTCTCGGGACATAAAAGTTGGTTGACTGATCAGAAAGGAGAGGGAAGTGTTAAGGATGACTCCCAGGTTTTTGGCCTGAGCAACTGTGTGGATGCTGATGTCTTTTACTGGGATGGGTAAGATTAATTGTCTCGCTGGGGAGTAGGTTTGTGGTATGTGCGGGGTAGAGGAGGGTAATCATGAGTTCATTTTTAGACAAGCTGAGTTGGAGGCACCAA